TTAAAAAAAATAATAATTTTGGTACGGGAAGTTTCAGCAATTTGCCTTAAGGCACGATGCCCTAATTGCCTTAAGACAGAATTCCACTTACAGCTAGTTACGTTCATATGTTCATAACCTTATTACAAAAGGTATAATAAACAACCCAGTTTTTACGTTAAACATATTTCAAAATTTTTTTACATTTAAATTTATTTTCATAAGATTCTGATTGCTATTATATTTGTAAATAAAAAAAAAAATAAATTCAATTCACAACATCATGGTGACGATAAAGTCAGTGCCTTAAGAAGAATAAATCATCGGAGTATATAGATTTTGTTAAAAAAAATAAACCAGATGAGATGGCTTTTTGATTGTCAACAATATAAAAAACTACTCGGTATTCAACAACATTCTTACAAGAAAAAAAAATTAAAACATTTATTATTGTTCGTACAAAACACGAAATCAATTAACAGCTGTAAATTTATTTAGTTGAAAAAAAAATTCAGACGCTTGCATGATAACTTTTCGTGTTGCCATAATAAAGTCGCAAATATAGCCATCAACGGCGAAACAAATTTATATTATTTTACTTTATTTATTATATGATTTATATCGTAAAATATATTTATATATACTTAGTTGAGTTGAATAAATTAATCGGTTTTATTAAATTTATGAACTCAAGCTAACAATTTATTGGCAAGTCATATAGCTTCATTGTGCAACGATGATTAATATTTTAGATTATGCATAACAAATTTGCTAGTAATACTCATACACGCGCTTAATGTTTTATGCATATTATTTAATTATGGAGAGCCACTTAGTATCGATTAATCATGATCAATAATTAATCTATAAGAAACATTATCATGTACAAATTATTAGTAAGATTAAATAACACAGTTGTCATTTAATTATTATTCAAATATCTTACACTTTTCAATATGCAGATAGAATAAATTGAACAAGTTTTGTGGCCGTTAAAGGAATTAAAAACTAAGAGTCGAACTCATTGCAAAATTACAATTTTAAACACCTATACACATTCAAAAGTATTTACGTTACAATTTAGTAAATTCTTTGTGAAATATTATTATTTCGTGATTAATTGAATATTACGTATTCAATTTTTCCGCCGGTTTTCGAAATTCCAGATTATCGCAAAGAAGAATAGTTTGGCCTAATATGATATGTACTCGCTATTATTAGATATGTTGGAAAACTACAAAAAGATACATAATAATTCAAAGTTACTCAATATATTTAATTTATTGAATCAGAGATTTTCATATTAATACTTCATAAAAAAAACTTTTAAAATATATTAACAATTGTTCGATTATTTTAAATTTTTAGGTAAAAAATCACATGAAGTATGTGCCAAAGCGCGAGAACCATCCCTTGGATTTGCTGAAACTGCGGAAGAGGTATTTAAACAAAGCCCTTCGCCAACTATTAGGAAGCTTTCAGGCTTTGCACGGTAATAAAATAATAAAATTTAATTATATTTATCTCTAATTTCTCTAAAATAAAAGATATAGTTCTTGTGACATATTAGTTTCTACATAATTCCCAGAATTCATACGATATTATGTTCTCTTAATAACGCATATGTGAATAAACAACTTCGAAATTGAAATTAGGATGAATATTAATAACTCCATTTTACTGTTTTTTTTTCTTGAGAATTTGAGAATGTCTATATTTTGAAGAGCAAAGTTTTATTTTAGACACGAATTACTGAGAAACTAATTAAATCAATTCAAAGAATTTATAAACCAGCTTCCCTTATAGACATAAGAATATAAACCAATCAGTTTAAAACTTAACTACACTGGCACTATGTTAATACAAAAAACTACTTAAATTTGATTTGCGATCAGGCAGAGCGCGGGTTCAATGCCCGTCACGGGCAAACCCAATATCTAGCAGCAGCGATATCAATTTTCACTTGAAAATATAGATCTTACTACAGCGGTTTCCAACCTTTTCTTCCTTGCTCCCCCCTTTCGAATGAAAAAATATTGCGCCCCCCCTCTTCTTATTTTTCTAACAATTTAATTTAAATATACTTAATATAACTGAAATTATGCCAAATAATACACAGTATTATAAAAAATATACATACAAACATAAATATTTATTATAAGAATTTTCTGTTTCACATAAGTAAGATCTCACAAATGGTAATAAAATTTCTAAAGCATTATTTGTCAAAGTAGGAAAACCGTCCTTTACTGGTAACCAAAACTCAACAATATATTTTCGTCCTGAAACATCTGCTTCAATGTGCTATCACTAGATAAATCAATTATAATTTTCTGCTCTGCTGTTGAATGACCAAAATCATCATGTTTCTTAATGACAAATGGATTTCTAATCCGTTAGTATTTGGACGTAATTAGATAAAGTAATGCGAAAATTGGTTTCGTAGACTAGTCATATGACTGATATAATAATAAGATCTTTACTTACTTCTATTTCATCAGTAACACAAGTAATTTTAAAAGTGAGAAACATGTTAAAGTTATAAAGTTATTTGATACTAGCTATACACAGTTCTAATTTTTTCATAAAAGCCGTAATCTTGTCTTTCTGAACAAAAGCACGAATTTGAGATCCTGGCATTGATTTATTTAAATCGCTAAGTCTTTGAAAAATATCAACTAAATACGCAAATTTTGCGAAGAACTTTATGTCCTAAAACAAGATTACTCCGTCTCTTTTGTTATCAGCAAGAAATATAGCAATTTCTTTTTTGAGCTCAAACACTCTCAGAAGTACTTTAAGTATTTTGCTGATTTGTTTTTGACACTTACTCAGCATTTAAAAATAATATTTTTGAAACAGCTTTGCGCCCCCCTTGGAACGGTATGGCGCCGCCCCAGGGGGGCGCGCCCCACAGGTTGGAAATCACTGTCTTACTATATTAAGTTTGAATGGCCCTTCCCCAGCATTGCTGCATCAAATTGAATAATAAGTCCAGCCCTATTAGAAAAATTCTGATAATAAAATTATCAAATATGGACGGATAAGCCGTTGGGTTATTATTACCATAAAAATACGACTATAAAGTTATGCTATTAAAATACGAGAATAAAAAAATGACATGGCGTAACCATTTTTAAAATTTTATAAACAATAATAACTTGACTCATATACTTCTCTATCTTTAATGTGGCTAGCCCATGAAAACTATTTTATATTGACTCGAGTCAATATCAGCTGATCAGCTTTGCCACTGACTATCATAATAGTTCCTGAAAAAAGATCTTATTCAATACACGTCCAGTGAATGATGATATAAATAATTTAGTCGAGGCACAGTTTACTCGTCAGTAGCGTCTTTTCCGCGTTTTCTCTGTCGCAGTATACATTTTTCATAATTACTCTTTCCAATGATCCATCTCTTCTTCTAACGTTAAAAAAACGTTACTTCTAATAGCAACTTTACGACCATTTGCATTTCTTTAAAATTCAAGTTGCAATGGTTATAAAAACGCAATAAAGGAACAATAAGCTGTAACAATTTCAAAGAGGTCCGCCACCAAAAAAGGCAAAATTAATATAAAATAAAAAGTGCATAAATAAATGCATCTCAGTAAAAACTATCAAAAATATTACGATTAAATTTTGAATTTTCACAAATACCTATATCAAACAAAATTTCATTATTATAGCACATAATCATGTTCATGGTCATTTTAGGCAGTTCGTTGATTGGGGTATAATATTGACATATTTTTCGGCGGGTTGCGTTTACATAGTATTCATAGCTACATCAATTGGTGAGGTAAGTCAAAATTTATTGCAATTGCTTATTTTATTCATAATATGGCGTATAAAATTGCATTATTGCATTACAGGTAGCAAATTATACATAGTGGAGAACGGCGGCGAAGAAATTGATATTCGGTCCTACATATTAATGGTCATTGTACCATTATTAATAATAGGACAAATAAAAGAATTGAAATACTTAGTACCATTCTCAGCAATTGCAAATTTGTGTTTAATTGTTTCGTTTAGTATAACATTGTACTATCTGCTCAAATCAAGAGAGGATATAAAGTCACTAGATTTAATGGGAGACTTTGCAAATTTACCACTGTTCTTCAGGTAATTTTTTACAAAAATATTTTAATAACTAGTAAATATGTGCCGAATGTCAAAAACAGCCTTATCAATATTTTACAGCACAGTCATTTTTGCTATGGAAGGAATTGGTGTCGTTATGCCTGTTGAAAACACTATGAAGAAACCTCAACATTTTTTGGGTTGCCCTGGCGTATTAAATATTGCCATGCTTATAGTTATTGTTCTGTATGCCATTATAGGATTTTTTGGATATTGGTGTTTTGGAATAAAAGTAAAAGGTTCAGTTACAGAAAATCTGCCAGTTGATGAAGAGTAAGTTCTTGTAATATATATATATATATATATATATATATATATATATATGTTTGTGACCTGTTAACTTGTATACTATTGCCCATTTCCATAATTTAAAATTACACAAACTTTAGAAACATTTTTTTGAAAAAAAAAATTAAAAACATAAAAAGAAATTACTTTAGAAATAATTAATTAAAATAACAATTAAATCCTTAAATTATTAAAAGAAGAAGAGTAGTGCGTTTCATTTTAAAATTCCGTACGTGCGCAATGATACAATTTTTCAATTCGATGCAGCTTAGGATGAGCATATAATGCTTTAAAAATATTAATTTTTCTTATCAATTGTCACTCAATTTTTTCGTATTCAGCATATGAACAAAAAATTAATGTCGTTAAAATCGATTTTTTTTATAACGAAGTGATTCTAAACCATCTTGGTCTGGTCAAATAATTTTTTCCTGTTGTGTACTAAAATAATTAGAAGGAAAAATCATCATTTTGGGTTGTTTGTTACCCTATAATATAATCATGAATAATGCTGCTCTGTACAATAATGTGAAGCAATCATTTCGCCAAAATAATAATACTAACTCTTTCATTTACATTTACAGATTAGCTCAAACAGTTAAAATTTTGATTGGAGTGTCTATATTATTCACATTTGGTTTACAATTTTATGTACCAACATCGCTGCTTTGGGGAAAAATTGAAGATAAGGTAAATTTAGCCAATAGTTCCGCAATATTTGCTTATTATTAAATGCTAGGTTTTAATTTGCCATGAACAAAGTAACCTTAATAGATGATGAACCGATTTTAAATATGCAGCTTCTACACTGTATATAATACTTAAATAAAACAATTTCTTGAAATCCTATACAAAGATTAAATTCTATAATATATTGCGGCAAACGCTCAAAACCCATTCTGGATTATATTTTATTAGAACTCTAAAGAATAAACAGTGTCATAATAATGTTTTTATAATAAACTATAATAATGTAAATGTCAAAAATTTAATTTAAATTGAAGTGTTTGAAATGTAATGGCTCTCTTTAAGTGCATTTTCCTATGAGATTGTTTTTCTAAAACAGTATAGATTATATCATGTTGAACATCATTAAAAACTAGTTCGTATTTGTAATTTGCCTTGAGGCAAGTTACATGAACTTCCCGACATGTGTAATAATCGACTTAAAATAATAAAATATAAATTAATTTATGAGTGATTAAAAGTATTCCGAGTGGATTTATCACACATCATTGAAATCGAACGAACTCTATCGTTATACCACGTAAAACGTGAAAATAATGTATATATGTAAATAAAAAAAAATAATAACTATCAAAAAAAAAAAAACGTCAAATTTTAATTTTAACAAACGTCAAAAAAACTGCTCATTTCCTCAAACTTTGATGAATTTTTCAAATTAAACTACTTGTCGTAAGGCCGAAATATTTCAGTAAGTTCTATAAGACCATGATATATATCGCCCAAAAAGTTTCAACAGTTAATTACAAGAAAACGGCTCGGTAAATTTTCACCTTAAGCTAATATCTTTCGAACAGTTTTTGATTAAAATCGACTCGGTAGTATGACCAAAAATGTTCAACACTTTTTCAAATTGCAAAGAAACAGCTCGGCCGATCGTCGCACAAAACTGAGAAACGATAATCCTCATCGAGATCCATCAAATGGTTTTTAAATTTCTGAAATAGGTTCAGGCGTTTTTGAACAAACGTCGATGAAAGGTCTAATTTTGACAAATGCCGAGAAAACGATACTACTCTTTGCAAACTTTTGCAAATTAAACGACTTATCGTAGGGCCGTAATATTTTAGTATGATCTGTAAGATTATGGTATCTACCTCCAAAAAAAAAATCATGAAAATCGTCGAAAAAAAATTTCTCAACACTTTATTACGCACGATTCCCAAATAATTTTTCGAACCAACTTTCGAACAGTTTTTGAATTTTCAAAATCGATTCAGAATTGCGGGCTAAAACGTGACGAAAATTTTTTTTACTTTTCTGCGGTTCACAAAGAAACGGCTTCGCTGATCATCGCTCAAAATTGATAAACGGTAGTCCTCATCGAGATACATCGATTGACTTTTAAATTTTTGAAATCGGTCCAGTCGTTTTTGAGAAAACGTCAATTCCCGGCAAAAAATCTGTTCACATACAAGCACACACACACATACTTTTTGCGAATTTGGTCTCATTCGATTCAGAATGGCTTAAAACTTCGAGAAAACGTAAAATAAGCGAAACATAAACTTCTTCGGGAAACGTTTTACAAATTTAACCGTTGCCAAATAAACATATATCGTACTACAATATACTCATATAAATTTCAAAGTTCAAATAAATGAATAATAGAACATATTAAAGAACTAAAATACTTAGTACCATTCTCAGAAAGTACAAATTTGTTTTTAACTTCCCGTAGGGCAAGTTATAGTAATCGCAAATAAATAGAAAATGAAATTTTTTATATATCTTTACGTTTCAAAACCTTCTGAACATGTTGGCACACCTTAGAAAAAATGGATGTATGTGTGTGTGTACGGATACAAATTTACGTCGACGATTTCGAGAACAAGGATGAAGCAATTTGAATAATTCAAAAAACATTCGATTCGTATTGATAAAAAGACGTGCTGATTAGTTTTTGGCGAAGGCAGGTCTAGCCGTTCCACAGATACGGGGCAAAAAGTGCCAAACACGGTAACTCAGTTTTTAAGAGAACGGAGCGTCCAATTTTAATAATTCAAAAAAACGGAGATCTAATGAAAAAAGTAAAAAAAAAATGCCATTTGGCGGTCAAAAATGATCATTAGACATATGCACATCAAATTATGAGATATTTTATAGAGATTTTAACAATAAGTATAAATTTTGTTTACATTCCTATGGGTTCCGTACCAATGTTTATCCGTTAGGCGCCGTCGCGGCGCTTACGCGCTTTAACATTTCGTCTTTATGCAGTTAAAGCAGTACGATTGCTTTGAAAAAAAGTTCAGAATTTCCAAAATATGTCAAAATAAAGAAAACATTTTTTTTTCAAAAAAAAAGTAATTTTTTGTCAAATTTATAGTTTCTCAAAACTCTAATTTTTTCGAAGCAATTTTTTTTTCAAAAATGTTAATCGTTTTTAAAAAAATAATAATTTTTGGTACGAGAAGTTCCAGCAATTTGCCTTAAGGCACGAATACATGCGCCCCACTAGTTTGTTTCATTTAGTTTAGCATTATATATTTGCAAAAATTTCAAAGTTCAAGCAACTACGCTAATTTCATCGATGAAAAAGTATGAAATAACACATTACCTTAAAATTTATCACGATCCTCGACTTTAGTTATTGTCATTTTTTGCAGGTTCCTAAAAATCGTCACAACTTAGTGCAAATCGCAATGAGAGTAGTTATCATATTCCTCATGATGGGCTTGGCATTGGCTGTGCCTGATTTAGAACCTTTCATCGGTCTTGTCGGAGCTGTGTTCTTCTCCATTTTAGGCTTGACAGTACCATCCGTTGTAGAAACCGTTCATAGGTGGAATGGAAGGCTAGGACCTATATATTGGATCTTATGGAAAAATCTTATACTATTTGCTTTCTCTATATTTGCACTTATTACAGGTGCAAAGATAAGTATAGAAAAAATTATAGAGCTTTACTAACGTTTTTATTAATGATAATTTACTTATTTACCCAGTACTGGTAACAATTTTTCTAAAACGATTTAAATGGTAGTTTTATATACAACCAAGTCAATTATTAACTTAGTAAAAATTAATAATATATATATATATATATATATATATATATATATATATATATCGTTTTTAATCTTTGGATATGTCATATCCGCACGCAATAAGTCTTGCTGGGCTTTGACATTAATGTAATAAGTGTATATTAATGCACTCGATTAAATAATTTTGTATATATTTTACACTATTAAAATTGTAGACTTTAACGATCTATTGCTAATATCATCAGTGATTATAATGTTATTTTTATTTATGACAATAATAAACAGTAATAAAATTATACACTATACCATAAAATCACCTTCACGTACTGTTAATTGAAAATTTTTATTTAAAGTTATTAACTTGAATGTAAATTTGAAAAAGTACGAAAAAATTTGTAGTATTAAATAAAAAAAAGCCATATTAATTTTTCTTGTTACATAAGTTGTAAATATATTACATCACTCGTAAGGCTTGTCATCGTTAAAGTAAACATATAATTTATTATTCACCAATCAGTTCATTTATCATAACAAAGACATATATAATAAGATTTTAGTTTAATTATAAAAAATGCTAAAAAATATTTTTAACAAAAACGCAATAGAATTATTTATGAATTATTACTTAACATTTCAAAAGGTGCATATTTGGTGATAAATAAACAAATGCATTAGAGATAAGCAAATATTTATGAAAAGTATGAACAGTACTCTATAACTGTATGAACAGTACTATATAAATGATGCGTGTATTATAATTTCGAGTTAAAACATTTTATTTGTGATTATACTTGTGATTTAATATACAATATCTATTTTAAGTTATGACATGTTACCGACTCAAAAAAGTTGATATATTGAATTTTTATATAATTTAAACTATTTGTGAAGAGATTTAATACTTCTATTTATGTATAATTGTAAATAATAAATACAGTATTAATTTGTTGTATAATAGAAGATATTATAAGTATATTTAGAAGCATTGATTATTAATTCTCTTAAGCGTTCTTATCTTTTAAACTGTTATCACATTTCTAAATGTTTAATAAATAAACCAGTTGAAAAGTGATAAATTTTATGAAAACAATGTCCTTATGGTTCATGAATTATTATATCTTAACCAGACCATCCGATTTGCATGATTCAAGAAGCATTCAATGCATAATAATGTGGAGAAGCGGTGATTAGTTTTTAGCAGAGACAGGTTTCGCCGCTTTGGAGATACGGAGCTATTTTTGCAAAAAAAAATAGCATCCAAATTTGAATGATTCAATAAGCATTTTGCTTGTTTTGACAGAGTGGAAAAACAATTAATTTTTGGGAAAAGCAAAAAAAAAAGAATGTTTTATTTAAAAATTTCAAAAAAAATAATTTTTTTTGAATATCGTAATTGCAACTCAGATTATATAACTAATTCTTAGAAATATGAGATGAGTGAAAAAGACCTTTTATAATAATTTTCAAAGAAATTATGATTCTTCAAATATTTCTGATCAAAACAACCTTGTTTTATTTTCTCAAGGTTCATATGAATAATTTTTTTACAAATCCAAAACAATTTTCGAAGTTTTACAAAATTTCAAATGAGGTAGTCAGAGATAAAAAAAAGCTGTATCTAGTATTACATATAGTAATTGCAGGGCCATGCTGGGTATATGACATGTGGAAGTGGAATGGAAGCCGAAAAAAAATCTAAATTTTTATATTTTATTATTTATTATTATACTTCATATATATATATACGAGGTCTGTTCAAAAAGTACCCGGAATTTTCGTTTTTTTCAAAAAAATATTTATTTATTCGTCTACATTAATGTGGTCCCCTTCAAAGTAGTCCCCCCCAGATATAATACACTTATGCCAGCGTTTTTTCCAATTTTCGAAGCACCCTTGATATTCACTTTTTGATATGTCCTTGAGCACTCTCAGCGATTTTCTTCAATCGAGGAAAACCGCCGTCCTTTCATGGGTCTCTTCAACTTTGAGAATAGGAAAAAGTCACACGGAGCCATATCTGGTGAATTTTTGCACTTTGCAACACTTTATTTCATTTTTTACGCAAAATTTAATACAAATTCTTTGACTTTTCAATTCTTCCATTGTAAAAATCGCCGAGCTCAGAAAAACACGTCGAACCTTAGCGACTACCACAGACAAAGTAAACAGTGAATATAGCTGAAAATTTCATCATACTTTAGGGGCATGTATACCAACACAATAAAAAAAAATTTGACAATCAGACACTCCAGACCCGCGAAATTTAATTATTAGTAATTCCGGGTACTTTTTGAACACACCTCGTATATATATATATATATATATATATATATATATATATATATATATACAGTTAGCAGAATGATATAATTAAAATATACATAATACAATTAAAAGATAACTCTGCGCGATTTTGGGGAAGCCAAGTTTACAATCGCTATCTAAATACTAAAATAATCCGCAATTTCATTTTCAATCGCAATAATCGATAAATTACTGAATCGTTTTTTTCAATAATTTTTTATTTTAACAAATAGTAGAAATATCAGTAAATTAAACTTGTGACAACATTTGGGAAAAAAGTTTCCAAACTGTTTTTATAAAAATTTGAGTAATCCATCATTTCAAAAATGAATTCTTTAAATAAATATCACAGGATTCACCATATTTGAATTTAACATGAAGATCGAAAAATTGTATTTCCTTAGGTATATATTAATATATACACATTATGTATATATTAATATATACACATTAGGTATATATCAAGAAATCCAAAACAATCTTCAAAAGTCTACAAATTTCAAAACAGGTAGCAAAAGATGAAACAGCTGTATCTAGTATTTCATATCAAAAATAATTTGAAATACTTCTTTTGGAGTAAATTGCATATCTTCGTCTACTTGATATTGCTAAATTGTTTTCGGTGTGAATTGCCATGTATTTCAGCAGGTCAAATTCATCATCTTTTCAAAACTTTCATTATTTCTCAAGCTTTCGAAAAATTTCATAACTCCATAATTGATTCAGCGCACGAACTAAGAAACTTTCAGCATCATTTTGATAATAAAATCTACCTTTTTCCAAATGTTGTACCATATTATTAATGGACAAAAAAATTATATAATTTAATTTTTATTGCAAAATATTCAGCTGTATGGCGAACTATTGGCGTAGAATATTTCTATAAGGCCTAATCGCTCCCCATAATATTTCACTAACTTGTTTTCATGTTAAGAATGTCACATTACTTTTTAAAAATTGCCACCTAAATGCTGAACCACTGAAAAAATCAACCGTTGAAAACAAAAATAAACCAAAATCTACCAAAAACTAATCAGCACGATACCCAATCAATATCTTTCAAACGGATTTTGAATTTTCAAAATCGATTCAGAATTGCGGGTTGAAAACGTGAACGAAAATTTTTTCACTTTTCTGCGATTTACAAAAAAACGGCTCGGTCCATCGTAGAGCAAAACTGACAAACTATAGTTCTCATCGAGATATATCGAATGGCTTTTGAAATCGGTCCAGCCGTTTTTGAGAAAACGTCCATTTACGGCAAAAAATCTGTTCACATACACAAACACACATACACACACATACTTTTTCCTAATTTGGTCTCATTCGATTCAGAATGGCTTGAAACGTCAAGAAAACATAAAATTAGCAAATCGGATTTTTTGATGAAAACATAAACTTCTCACACAAAAAAAAACATTTTTTTAAAAAGATTAAATTTTTTCAGGACTTTAAAAAAATAGATATTTGAGATTTTTCAAATTTTTTTAAGAAATTGAGTTTTTTTATACTTTGAAACTTTGAATTTTCTTTAAAACAATCGCTATACGTTAGCTGCGTAAAGACGAAATATCGAAGCGCGTGGGCGGATTAATATTTGTACATGTAGAAGATTGCCATTTCACAGATTATATAAAGTCACACACAGAATTTTTCATAATATAATTTATCCAAGATTTTCATTTTTGCCTAAAAACTAGAAATACTCATGTACTGTTTATTTCTATCCCTTGCATGTTGAAATATTGACATTTTTCCCGCATTATTTTCATTGCCACCGCCAATAATAGCATCACAAAGATGGATGTATTTTTCAGATTGAAGCTTAGAAAAATGATTTAATGTTTCAAATAGATGTTTTCAATCGTTCAATCTCAACTTTGGCATACATGCCAACTTTAAACTTATAGAAAAGCCCATTGACACATTAAGGAGGTATTCTAGTGTAGAGCGATGAATTTTAGGTCATTTTTAAAGTGTCGCAAAAGAAAGCAATGAATGTTTTTACTATCCATTTTTTACCACTTGTTTATTAATATTATTAAAATACAAAACAAAAGTTAAAAAATAAAAAAGTTGAAAATTGTAAAAACTGGCAGCTGATAAAGTGGGTGGTCTCAAAAAATTGGCACCTCAGTCTTGACATGATTTCAGCCCTCCGAGCCATCGGAAATGCAAAAAATATAAAGATTATTAATCTCAATGATGTCGCAATCGGCTGAACTAGCGATGAGTAAAATTTTTTTTTTTTCACAAATTGGCGACTGTTTCAAAGAAAAAAGGTTTTTTTTACTGTTTTTTGAGATTCTCGAATTTTTTAAAAATAGTAAAAATAGGAGTTTCGGGATGATTCTAGTTCAGACTGTAGATAGATCTATAAACAAGACTCTCTAAAAATTTCAAATAAATTGGTCGAGTAGAACTCCAGAAATCGTGACAAGAGTACTGAAAAAGTAAGTTCTGAGAAAAACGCATTTAAAGTTTTGCGTGAAGCCAAACCAGTATGGAGACCGAGTCAGTAAAATGCCTATATCTCCGAAAATAATACAAATTTTCAAAAACCTTCTCGTTACCCATATTCTCAGATAGCTAAACTTTGAAAATATGAAATAAAAAAAATCGATTTTTTTGAAGTTCTACACTAGAATACCCCCTTAAATAGTTTATTTATTTCCCCTTCTCGAATCAATCAGAATACTGATTTTTGGTTATAGGTTTCAGCACCTAGAATTACCATCAATGTTATAGATATATAGAATTACTATATTAATATTATAAATATCACGATTATTATTAATATATTTGCCTGCTATTAGATTAACCATTTTGATATTAAAATGGTAACAGTTTTCTCATTAGTCAGAAGATTAATGGGTACTGTAAAACATATGAGCTCTATGTAATTCAGGCACACGCTTAAATTCATTGTCGGAACAAAGCAAAATATTTCTTGATTACAGATTTTCTCCGACTATTGCCACTTCATTAGTTGTTGGTAAATTAAACTTCGCTGTTTCTAAAGGCATCTGATCAAGTGCTATTTTAAATAAATTCACTAAACGATTGTTGTTATGAAAAAGTTTTTTCAGTTCTTAGACATTTAATTGCTTCACTGAAGAAATATGAGCACAACGCCGCATCTGGACTGGCAATAACATAATTTGCAAGAATTCATCATCCACATCAACACTGCTCCCAATAATTGATGAACTTGTCCTAGTGTTATTGCTGGCACAGACCAACAGCTGCACACCATGAGGTCATGTTGCAACTATAATTTGAATGTGTTTATTTGCATTTTTCTTTTTGGAAGTGCGTTTTTAAATCAGTTACGTTTTTGTCCTCTGAAGTTTCTATTGTAAAAATGTGGTCTGATAGCAAATAATATGCCAAACTATACTTTTCTGTTACACAGCAGCTGTAATTAGTACAATCTATGCAATTTCGTTACTCACCATGTTCTTGAAATATCTATTTAATAAATTTTATTTTAATTTATTAGAAATAAATCATTCACCTTAAAACTTTCTAATTTCGTATATCAAGTCTGGGCACCATAGTTATCAAATTCTTTCTCAAAACATCAAACAATATTCTTTATTTTATAAATCAAATATTCAAGTGCAAAAATTATAAATGATATACAATTATAAACTCTTATATGATCTGGTGTATGGTTTATAGGACATCACTTCAGAAAGTAAATTTTCTGGTTTCATGATCAGATATTTGTAATATTTCAGATAACTTCAGATGTCTTTTAAATTTTAGGAAAACACGCTGTTCAGAGGATATTGTTGAATATATGTTAAGTTAGTAATTCTATTCTATTTCTTGCTCTGTTCTTTAATCATCTTATATCTTATTAAGACCATATTTAGCTTATTCAAATCAATATAGTTGAAATTTTTGCTTACGGTTTGTTTTATGTGAAATAACATGAAACAAATCAATACGATTGATATTGTTGGTATGGATTGTTTCCATTCTTTAAATTTTTACTAAATGACGAAAACGAGCATAAATTATTTAAATAAAAAATTCGAAAAACGTTCAAAAAAACAATTATTAACCAAAAGGCATTTTAATGCATAACAATTTATTATTATTTATTAAACAAATCAAACTTTTCGTATTGTTTTCAGCGCAGCTTGATGTATTTTTGGATCCAATTTATCTGGAAGAAGAAATTATAATACTCGACTATTAAAATTAACAATTTTTCTAAAATAGAGTGCAAACAGAATTAGCTTATATTATAGTAGGAGGGATAAGTTCAAAATAATGTAATAAGGATCTATCCCTAAACAAGATATATTTTCAATAAGAATAAAATTCCTTATGCATGTTTTTATCCAGAGTTCTGATTACCACTTGATAATTTTTATTCTCTCAAAGATATTTCTAGGAATCTCACATAGAAATTTTTTATAAAACAAATCATTAATTGAGCACTTACAAAACCGAATATATTAGTAAGCCTTACTAGGAGGTGAGCAATAGAGTTTGTCGATTTTTAAAAACTGGTTTTAAAAACCATTTTTTATGAAAAAATAAGGTATTCGAAAACCATAATTTGTATTATAGAAAATTGAATGCTCAATATGTAAATAACACTTAACAAACAATAAAAACGACAGGTGCACCATATTGATGAAAAAAGCACTGTTGCAAATTGATAGCTGTCCTTCATTTCACTATTATAAAAATATTTATATATTTATATGTAAAAAACATGCATGAACAACAAATAATTAATAGTTTCAAAGTTATTTATCCTGGTCAACTATTATGTTTTTGTTCTTAATATTTTTGATAGATTAGACAAAATCAAAAATACACTTTCAAAAAATATTATTAGTTATGATGCTTGTTTTATATAATTAAAGTGAGTAAATGGAATAACTTACATATTTTATGTTGTCCTTTGATTGGAAATTTGATTGGTAACGCTTCAGGATTTGTACAAATGAAAACATAGGGACTTTCAGATTCTCCATTTGGATAAATTTTTTGATATTCTTCTTGAGAAAAACACTCACTAACAGTAACATGTCCCAACAAACAACCCGAAGGGTATTGTGCTGGAAACTTTAAATCTGAATCTGAAATTATACAGAAGATTATACATATATATATATATATATATATATATATATATATATATATATATATATTGTTCGACGTTGAAACATATTGAAATGAATAAAACAGTCAATGCGTCGAATGTAAAGAATTTATTTTAATTTTTTATACGTTTCGAGACTAGATATGTCTCATCATTCAGCTAAAAGAAATTTACATTATAAAGAAAAAGTTTTAAAAAATGAATTTAAATATTGGAAAAATTAATTGAAAACAACAAATTATACACACCAGATCAGGAAAAACCACACTATATTAACACATTTTACAACACCACAATCACATGATACTACTACTACTGTAGGAAAGCAAAAATAATTTAAGAAAAGACCAAAACAGGTAAAAGTAAAATTGTATGAAACAGATATTTTTGTTTTTAACAGATAGCATAGCAATGCAGTTTGACTTATTTGCGTCGGCGACGCGTAGTTCGCTCTGCTACCAACACGCGTGCATGGAAAAGAGGGGATATCAGGGGCGTAGTAGAGAGTCAGATTTACAGAAATTAATTATATTTTGATAACTTTCTAAGAGTAAGCAAGAAGAACTGCGTTTGTTCACACAATTTGAATTTAAAAAGATAAAACATGATTCAGAAAATCCTTAGACCTTAAGTATCGTAGACCTTAGAAGATTTTCTGAATCATGTTTTATCTTTTTAAATTCAAATTGTGTGCACAAACGCAGTTCTTCTTGCTTACTCTCAGAAAGTTATCAAAATATATTTAATTTCTGTAAATCTGACTCTCTACTACGCCCCTGATATCACCTCTTTTCCATGCACGCGTGTTGGTAGCAGAGCGAACTACGCGTCGCCGACGCAAATAAGTCAAACTGCGTTGCAATGCTATCTGTTAAAAACAAAAATATGTGTTTCATACAATTTTACTTTTACCTTTTTTGGTCTTTTCTTAAATTATTTTTGCTTTCCTACAGTAGTATCATGTGATTGTGGTGTTGTAAAATGTGTTAATATAGTGTGGTTTTTCCTGATCTGGTGTGTATAATTTGTTGTTTTCAATTAATTTTTCCAATATATAAATTCATTTTTTAAAACTTTTTCTTTATAATGTAAATTTCTTTTAGCTGAATGATGAGACACATCTAGTCTCGAAACGCATAAAAAATTAAAATAAATTCTTTACATTCGACGCATTGGCTGTTTTATTCATTTCAATATATATATACAGTAGAATCCGATTAGTATGACGCCGGATATATTGACAACCGCTTATTATGACGTAATCGCACTAATAAGTTTGGTTTCCATATAAAATACCTTAAAAAAACAGCTGTCTAGTCAGATATATTGACATCGCTTACATTGACATGCCGCTTATAATGACCCATTTTTGCAAAAAATTATGTCCAATTATAATGCCCGACATGATTTTACATGATGTGGCCAAGTCTACGAAAGCAATTGCTATGTCTTTTGTGCACAAAAGCACCAGGGACTGTTTTTACAATAAAATTATGTAAAGAAATCAATCAAAAATTACTGATTACTTACATTAAAAAAACACATTTGAATGTTTATGGGTAGGGTAGACTAATTATTAATGGCCCACCACGGATATCTCATAAACAAATAAAATTAGATTTTTTTTAACAATTATATTTGATAGTAGAGGGCGAAAAATGTATAAATTTATAACAAGCCATTCCTACCCTATGTCAATTTTATTTTATATTAAAATTTAATATGTCATTTTTATTTTACCCCTATACCATGTATAGGGGTTTCTTTTAAATTACTGAAACAAGTAACATATTTACATATTAAAAAGTTTTTCTTCAGTATGCTTTGTATGACGACCGGTTAGTATGACGAGATTTCGGCGTCCCTTCGATGTCATACTAAGCGGATTCTACTGTATATATATATATATATATAAATATATATATATATATATATATATATATATGTATATATTATGAGTCATTGACAAACTTTGTTTGTCAATTTTTTCAGATTATCATAGTTACATGTACAACTTTATTATTTTGGTTCATTTAAACTTTGGAACCGTCACCGAAATACCAATTATAGGACCACAGTCAAAAATTTACTGAAAACCTTAATTTAAAAGAGATAAAATACTTTTTAGCTTTTATATAGATAGATACAACAAAGTCAATAAAATAGTTAGACTTACTTTCATAATGCTTGCGGTAGAAATTCTCCACGCTCTTCACTTCTTCCATGTCAACTATTTTGGCTGTAGATGCAATCCATAATCGACCTCTATGAGCAGTATACCAGCTGCGTCCTTCATGTCTAAATAATAACATATTCTTTGATACTCTCAAACTCATTCTGAGTAAGTTCTATTCAACAAATTTTATGTTTTTTATCAGTTTTTTTTAACGGTACGATTTTTAACAAAAGAATGTGTGTGTGATCTATAGACTAACCAGAGATAAATACAGTCAAATAATAACTTGCTATATCTTCAATAAGTCTATCTTAGACATATTCTCTTGTAAACATTGTTCTTTTAGTAAAATTGTATATAATATATTTTATAGTGATGTGCCAAGTCGAATCAAGTGATTCGAATCATTCGAATCAAGCCTTTAACGACTTGATTCGAATCAGATTTTACTTGATTCGAATCAACTCGTATCAAGCCGCGAAATATTTACTGTGATAAAACATGTGTGAACACAAATTTTCATAAATATAAAAAAAATGTTTTAATTTAATTCAAAATTATAATAATATAAATAATAATAATAATAATAATAAATATAAAAAATAATAATAATAAATATAAAAAATAAATCTTGAATTAAATCATGCGAGTCACCCGCCTTTAATACGCTTAAATGTATCACCCGACTCCAATTTATATGACTTTAACCGCATTCAAGTCGATATGAATTGATTCGAGTTCCTATGACTCAAACCGACTTATCCCGACTTCAAGTCGTTATGAATTAATTCGAGTTCCTATGACTCAAACCGACTTATCCCGACTTCAAGTCGTTATGAATTAATTCGAGTTCCTATGACTCAAACCGACTTATCCCGACTTCAAGTCGTTATGAATTGATTCGAGTTCCTATGACTCAAACCGACTTATCCCGACTTCAAGTCGGTATGAATTTATCCGAGTTCATACTCAAACTGAATCATACCGACTTGAGTTCGAAACATGTGTCCGTGTTTAGCGTATCGACTTATGGAGATGCAGTGCGTATGGGTCTTGAGTGTTTGTTTATTTTTGACTAAGCGCTGAGAGCAAATTTGTTCATAAAATATCAAAAACTCAATTAGATAATAAATACGCGATTTAGATTTTAATTATTATCAAAATAAACTACACAACGAGTTTTATACACATACAAAATTATTATATTTTAATTATGCAAGTAATGGCAAATTCACACAAATGAAATAATATCAATCTTTACAGTAGTGGATTGAATTTTAAGTCATTCGTAAGACGTTAGATTCAGCTCCCTGTTTAGATTAGATCTAAACAATCAATAATATACACATGCATTCGTTCAACGTAAGATTAAGAATATTGTTTTATATACTTTAGTGATAGAGAAGTGTTTGGTTATATTTTACTGTAAATTCACTTGAAAGATTAGTTATATTTGTAGCTAGTTTATTATTATATATATAGTATAAATGTATTCATCTCTGCACTTTTTGGAATTAATTGCTTACTAAATTAATTATTTCACTTATAAAATTATTAAAATGATATTATTTCTTCTCTTAAATTATAATTGTTCATATATGAACTTGATTCGAATTGATTCGAATCATGATTCGAATCAGGTTTTTTTCTGATTCGAATCACTCGAATCAGGAAATTTTCGAGTCGGCACATCACTAATATTTTAGTGCATATATGTATATGAATATAATAATTTTAATGAAAGTATAGATTTTAAAATAAATTAAAATAACGCATATTTCTTATTAATGTTATGTCTGATAGTTGCATATGTATATGTCAACATAAAATTCAAAATTATAAAATGAGAACGTAGTTCCATATATTTACATTTCAAATTTGTCTATAACATCTACATTCTACAATAAGCAAGCATTTAACATATCAAATATAAGGTCAAATCTTTTTAAAATTAAAATGATGTATTATTTGCTGATTTCTGTATTGCCCATACAAACATGTTCAATCTACGAAATTGTAACTGCAACAATTTCGTTATTGTAATTCATTTATTCTAATTGATTCTAATTTTGCGATTCGGTAATATTTAAGAATAATAAATTTACAAGAAACAAAAAAATATATATATATATATATATATATATATATTTTGTATGATTTTGAATTTGATGTTGACATATGTATTAACAAAGTCTAATAATCGGGCATAACATCAATAAAAAACATGAATTTCTTTCAAAAATTTATTTTAAATCCATACGTTTCGGCTGTAATCCTAGCCTTCATTCAGTGGAAACTAAAAATAAAATTAAAAACTAAAACAATTGAATTGGAGTGAAAAGAAAAAATAAAATAGTAAATAGTACTTACAATTAGTTGATCTTAGTGGTAAATTGGAAAATTTTAATAATCCATGGTATTAGGATATGGTAATGCACTACACTATGTATTATAAACATTAACTTGAAATTACACAATATTTTCACAAAATACTGATTTGAAAAAATCACAAAAGTGAATTTATATCTACATACATAATATAGCAGACACTTCCGCCTAACTAATTAAAAAGAAATCAAAAAAATTTACCTTTTAATATTTTCTACTAATAGAGAAGCATATGGTTGATGCATACTCAAACAAACACCTCGATCGCTCATTTCTTGTATATCTTTATCTTGAAGTCTCATTGATAAACCATCATTATCAAAAGATTTTGTATTACATAGTGGTCTTTCTGTTTCCATTATCTGAAAAAAAAAATTACATAAGATGGATTTATTTAGCATTAAGGTGCAATGGCAATCATAAAAATAACATAAGTGAAAACACATTAAAATTTCCAATATTTTTTTTTTATTTGTTTATATTATGATCTGTCCATATTGAGGACATTTATAATTTTTTTTGATTCTTAGGGTATGGCTTGCATAAAAATTGACCCACTAGTTATCCCATCCTAAATGTGACATAAGAGTACAATGCTATTTTTCGACTTCACATTTAAAAGGCCATTTTCACTTGAGATCAGTGGCGTCGGAACCTAATTTCTGATGGGTCGTTTTTTTCTTTTGATAGACAGCCAGTGGGCTTGTTTTTTTTTCAAAAATTCATGGGTGGGTTCAAGCCCACACGGTTGAGATCTATAATCTCTAGTGGAAATTTGATATCATGCTTGGTCATGTAAAATACATGGTACGCTCAAATATAAGACATGGTTTGGTTTTTATATAATCTGAAACTGATTACTTTTAAAATAAGTTGATACATTGTTAGATAAAATAAACATTTTTGACAGTTATATATTTTTACCACCAACTTCCATTAAAATCACCAAGCCGTAATTTTTTAAATATACCATAATAATGATTTACAGAGTACTGATGGTGAAAAACTGAACCTGAACCAACTATGGTTCTTCTTGTATTTCAGCAATAATTTCTCAGCTAAATTATACATTTCCAGATATATATGCTTTGATACATTATCTACACAATATCCACGCTTTTATTGTACAAATTTAGAATACTATATAAAAAAAAGGAATAAATGCACCTTTACTTGATATTTTCATGTCATCTGGTCCTTATTACAAAAAAATCAGTTTCTAGATCACATTTTCCATTGTTTTCATTTATATATATTTTAGATGTGATACTGCCGCTTAATTGGGTAAACGGCATTTAGTTTCAGAAGACAGATGGTTTCCATTTGTCATAAGCTACTTTCATACTCTTGTTGCTTATAGACGAATGGACCAGAATACAACAAAGTTCTTTTTCAAAATGTTTTTGCCATATATTCTGTTTCTACACATGATTGATAAAAAAAAGGGTGATAGGCAAAGGTAAAATGTACTGAGTGCAAATTGATTCACCCAATTCACAATTGTAAATAATTACAATATGCAGAAACTTAAATAACCAAAACTTTTTCACACTGTCTTCAAAAATGTTTTTCCTGCAGACGCTGCAATACCTAATGCAGCTTGTGCTTTCGAAATATCTTTGAGTTCAAATTTTCATAAATCTTTATCTTTTAACTATTAATTTTAGCTAACATTGAAAAAACTAAAAGATTTTTCACGTGTCTAAGATACATGCTAGAATTATAAAAAAATCATTGTCATAGATATTCAAAAGATTCAAATCATACCATTGGTGGTTCAATTTCCAAGTTAGGATTAAGAGCTGGCCTTGACACATCTGATTGAGCCATCACATACTTATCACTAGCTTGAATTAATTCACGCAATACAGTTTGATCATATTCTGTATCTGCTTGTTTTGATTCTGTCACAGTTCGACCTATAAAACAATTCAATTTAGGTTCTCGAAAAAAATAATTCACTTACATTACTAGTCAGTCATTATTAGCTACAATAATATATGATATACTCAAATCAGAGTATCAATTCAAAGATCATAAGATTTGATAATGTTTAAGGGAATTGCTATTTCTAATATAAGCTATCTGCCATGTTTTTACATCAAAAAAAAAAAAAATGTTTTAAACCTTGAACAAACCATTCTATTCGAATCCAATAAAGTGATATTATTGATGCACCTTCTCATGCTGGAAATGAAACATTTAATTTCTTAAAAATCTGTCGAGCTACTGGTCATAGTTCCTTAAGACTTAATATATCCTGTGTAGTAATTACACAATCAAAAGTGAGCAGTTATTCTAAAAATTTTAATATTTACAAAATACAAACCTGCAAAATCTAAAATTATAGATTTGTTAGCTCTGCTCTTATGTTTCTTTTCATGCATTTCTTTAGCAAACTTTTCAATCTGGGCCTTTTCTGATTTAGTGAGCCACACAGATGTTGAATTAAAATAATCACTTTCATCATCAATAACCTTTAAAAAAGAAATCAATTTGTGACAAAGAAGAAAAGTTGTCACAAATATTTGATTACCAAATACCTACTCGGGTTCTTTGTTCACTATTTTTGTCATATTCTACTAATTTGTTTCTTTGCAATAATGCTTGCTCCCATCCTTTTGGCCGTTTTTGATCCTTTAATCGATTCAGCAAACTATCAGAACGATCAGTATTTTGTCTCAACACATTCTTTTCCTCATTAGAACATACCTAATATTATTATAACATCATTAATAAATATTTATAAAAAAGAAACATTAATGAAAATAGTTACAAGTTCTCCACAAAAAAGACATGGCCCAGATCCTTCTTGAGCACAGACAATTCGACCGCATTTCAAACAGTTATTTATCAAATCATGCTTACTTGCTTCACAATCACAGTGGTGACGACCTACACACGAGAACATAAAAATATTTGCATAACAGTTATAACATTAAAATGAATAATAATGAAAAACAAATTTAATAATGTGTATCCATAGATTTTTGTATTTTTAAATATTCACTAAACTTTAATAGATTTTGAAGTTTGGATGTATTCTCACAAGCTGCAAGTTTAATAAAAATCACTTAAATAATATAAATTTCATAATTCTTTGGGGATATATAAGTATTCGTTATTAATTTTTCTCTCCTAATATATTTATTGAACAATATAAGATATTGTTCAAATTCATATAGTTTATTATTCATGTGTGCACTATCAGTAAAATACAAATAAATATTATTTTCTCTAAATAATTTACTGCAAAATAACTTTGTTGACTTTACCCAAAATAGCTTTTTGGGCTATTTGCTACAGCCCAAAGGACTAGAATTCAATTCCAAATAATATTAAAAAAGAGAATTTAAAGTGAAATAAATAAATATATCATTAAAAGGTTTACTTATTTTAATCTAGGCAACAAATTATGTTATTTAAATTTTGAAGAAACTTGCATAACCTGAACCATTACTAAAAATTACAGTTATTAAAGCATATTGAAAAGGCAGCAGACAAATTAATGAAACAGAATTTTGAAACAATTAGCTCTAACTCGATATTCTATGAACATATTTTCATTTAGCATATTAAATAATTATTCAGCTAGTATTAATGGTTCATTTGTAGTGTAATGAAATATATTGGTAAAATTCTAAGTGTAATTGATGCAATTCTCAATCACAATATTCTAATTATTATATTAGATCTAATTAGTAAGTCTTCAAATTACTTGTATAATGTAAATCTTAGTGCCTACCTTTCAATAATATAACATCTCTTGATTGTCCCTCAGGAGAGTATAAATTTACAAACTTAGTTTTCTTCTTGGCCCCTGTGCTGTCTTCAGATGAAGTTTTTATACTGGATCCTTTTTTCACATTTCCCTGATTTTGTTTTAATTTCAAATTCGGTTTTTTAACTTCATTTCTTTTACTTATTAAATCAATCAAAAACAATTTATGTTCAGGATTGGAAAAATCTAATAATGTGGCCAAATAATCCTCTGCATCCCGGTTATTTTCGATTGACATCAGGTACCTGCAATATAATTAGGCCATTAAATTTTAAATAATCAAACGATCGGGGTAGTGACTCACTGAACCAAGTCATCAGGCACCGCAAATTGCATCAATTTAGATAATCTTGTTCTAATCCAATTTTCCATCGTCGACATTATTTACTCTTTAATATAGAAAACAAAAAAAAAAAAAAGAATATAACAATTTATTCTTCCGAAAAGTGTATTTATAACTATATATTAAATTTAATAACAATAAGAACTAAACGTATGTGCATAAATATGTTTGGTTAACTGGCTAACTTTATTGTCAGTTTGAGAGTTCAAAACTTGTCATTAGTGAAGATGTTGACGGATGTTGACTTAATTTTAAAACCCTGACATATCGATACATTATCGATAAATATGTGCATAGAGATACTGATAATGTTGGGATTGCCAACATTATCATATTCATTGAAGAGGCAGAGAAGAAAAAGAGAAAAGAAAAAGAGAAAAAGAAAAAATAGAAAGAGAAAAGAAAAAGAGAATAAGATGGTAAGTGGTGAAACCATAGATAAGGAAATAGTTCACTTGAATGATCGTAGCAGGGTGTAGAACTTCTAGTAAAAGGTTGCCGATATAAGAGTTTAAACCCATTCATATCTTAATCTTTTTTGGATCTTGAACCCATTTATGTGGATTTATCTGTGCTTGAACCCTTGCTCTACGGCAATTAAAAATATTTGCACAGAGCTCTAAACATTGGTTCTTAAAAATTATTATTGATTTGTCCCTAAAAGATACAAAAAAAAATATATATATATATTTTCATTTATCATTTCATCACTGACAAACAGCTTTCTTCGCAATTGCTGAAATGTTGCTTATATTTTAAAAAAGTTCAAATAACAAAGACAATGCAATAAAATGTTTATTTAGCTATGATTTTGTTATTTTACTCGGTGTAAATTTATGAAAAATTAACACGCATGCACGCAGTACACCAAACATATTATCATTAACACTTAACGGATTGGCTCCGTAGATTTTCGTGTTCTTTACGCGTTTAAAAATACTAAAAGCTTTAATAAATACGATTATAAAATGTTAAATTAATGTTATAAATTATTAAAATTCATTTAATATTTTAATTTCCTGAATTATTTAAGGAAACTAGATGCAAATACAACAGATTTGTCACGTGCGTTAACTGTTAAGGTATTTAAAAATGAAATAATTAAAATAGGTTTTTCATAATATTTATTTATTTTTCAACATAATATATATTTTTCATATCTCAGTCAGGCAGGGGTGCTAATGGCTATTTGTCGTTCAAATTAATGTATATTAAATGTTTGATAATTTGACTCATTTAAATCTAATGTAATATGCGTTTATGAAATACTTTGCAAAATAATATTATGAACTACTTTTTGGAATAGTTAGTTATGGACTCCTGTGACAGAGGTCTCTGTTATAGACTAGTTTTTTGTGTGATTCGGCTTTAAGTTGATACAACTTCATTGTTTTGATTTGCATGTTTGACTTTGACATACCGAACTGAATATGTAATGCTCAAAAATAACATTGTTTAACATTGACCTATTAATCATTTAATATACGTTTTGTACATGCGAACATAAATATTAAATATGAATAACTTAATTTATTACGATCAGAGTCCTTCTGGGCGTCATCAGAAAAATTATGATCATAATGTAGAAAACCAAGATTGCGATTTACATAGTAAATTTTATAAAGTTGTGAAATTCGTTGGTGTTTTATGTGCATTTACTATTGTCTCTTTAAAACTGTTTATACTCAATAGTAAGTTTAATATTGTGTTAAATTATACATTATTATATATTAAATGGGTGCAATTATTTTTAACGATATGTTACAAGTTTAACAAACTAAGATATCCTGATTTTTATATAAAATAGATACGTTATATATTTATATACAAAGATATAAGATATATATACATATATATATATATATATATATATATATATATATATGTGTGTGTGTGTAATTATTTATACATATATATATAATTACATCGAGTGTTTTTTAACGAAGATATTTTTTATAGGGCCATATATAGAAAGTAAATTATTTAGCAATAAGTTGGTGTTAACTGAATGGGTTGAAGATGGAACGTCCTACTTTACATACAGATGGACAAAAGAAACTGTAGGCGAGCCATACTTAATACCCTTTTCTGTGAGTGTCCTTGTGACTCTATTTACATGGGTTATAATTTATTTAGATAGTCGAACGCCTGGAGAAAATCCGCCATCACCTTTTGCTAAATCTAAGTACAGGTATTTTAAATTGCATTGATTTTTTTTTTCAACTTAAATATTTTTATACCATTACAATTGTATATCTATTAGGAATAGATCTTCAACATTTCACATGGGATACATTATGGCATTATTAAGTGGTGTTGCCACCTTTGGTGCCATGCTGTTTGCAACTTCTTGAGTCAATATGATTTATTGAAAAACATAGTTTATAAATATTTAAGTGCATGTTTATTCAAGAACTAGAATCTCAAATCATTCTGAAACGCTTGATGCCTTAAAATAATGCTTTGCTGTTAATTTAGGTATTTATTTAGATATATGGAATGTATTACTTTAACGTGAGTACAAAAATAATTTTATTTTTACTATCATTTTATAGTATAGCTTATCTTATTTATAATTAAATTATTTATATATTTGTGTATCTGTGAATATAAGAACATTTTATCACTGGTGAAAATAATTAATATTTATTAACAATTAACTGTTAGCTAAAAAAATTTGAAGCCGATTTCTGGTAAAAAATAGTAATTGGATATTTGTACAATGGAATTCATGTATTTGTAGTATTTACATTGAAATAATTTAGTTTGAGATTTTAATAAAGAACATACAGTGAAACATTACTTACTTAATTTGTACCGGGAGAAAGTTCATTATGTGTGAAGTTTTTCCATATAAATGAATAAAAGTAAAATTAATTCGTTGTGTAGTTTGAAATATGTTCCTATAAAATAAGATATATTTCACATATAATTAAGACATTTAAACAAATATTACTAATTTACAAAATAAGGTATTATCTGAGATTCCTTTTTTCCCTTTTGGCGCATGAATTTTTAAAGAAACTGTCAATAGTTGTTTCTTTTATTCTCTTCTTTAAGACCTATCTCAAATTACAGGTAAGCTTCCATTGTACAAATTTCTGATCTTAGCATCAGTTATGTTCAAAAAGTAAATATTTACAAATTCCATTTGACCAAAAAGTCTTTTAAAGACTTTATGCATTACAAATCTGCTGACTGGACTTTTTTTCCAGAGTTTTTGAAAATCCACATTCAAAATTTTCTGAATATCTTTGGGATGTGAATGCGAATTACCCAATAACGAAATGATTTAAATGTTAGTTTTTTGCTAGTATATTTTCACAGAGGGGCAAAACTATCTAAAGTCTGCTTTTTTAATTAATTTGAGCATCATATTTTTAACTACAAATGAAAATGGTTAAGTCTGTTGTGTCAAACGTTTGCGCTCGAAAAAAAAGCTCGTTGTGCGTGGCGTACGTTATGCGGGGTATAACTATAGTTATAAAATATTGATATCAGTTTGGATACACTATATTCACACTCACAAAAATATTGATGCATTGTTTAATAAATAAATACATAATGATCATGGAAAAAAAAGTTTTCAATCTATCTGTGAACATAAGGATTATTATTCATAATTTATTTCATATCAGAAGTTGAAGCATGACAAGGAATATGTTTGAAGACTATGTTGACGCTCACTGTCTTTTCTAATTTACTAGATAAAAAGATTAAAATAGAATTTTGATTGGTGTCAGCGCTTTTACTTGCCACCTTAACGAGATAATAATCACAATCATTATTTGTTGGGTCAAAACTAAAACTTGATATTCTCCAAATAAAAGAATATGTTCCAAATAATTCTATTTAGAGCAGATTCATTTGCTTTATTTTATTCATTAAGGGGTATTCTAGTGTAGAAATTCAAAAACATCGAATTTTTTTTAATTTCATATTTTCAAAGTTTAACTATCTAAGAATATGGGTACTAGAAGGTTTTTGAAAATTTGAATTATTTTCGGAAATATAGGCATTTTACTGACTCGGTTTCTATACTGGTTTGGCTTCACGCAAAACTTTAAATGCGTTTTCTCAGTACAGGTTTTTTCAGTACTGTTGGCACGATTTCTCGAGTTCTACTGGACCGATTCACTTGAAATGTTCAGAGAGTCTAGTTTATAGACCTATCTATAGCCCGAACTAGGATTATCCCCAAATTCCAATTTTTACTATGTTTAAAAAATTCGAGAAAGTCAAAAAACAGTAAAAAAGATACTATTTTTTAAAACAGTCGCCAATTTGTAAAAAAATTTTTTACTCATCGCTCGTTCGGGCGATTGCGACATCATTGCAGATTAATAATCTTTTTATTTCTTTTATTTCGATGGCTTAGAAGGGCTGATATCATGTCAAGACTGAGGATCCAATTTTTTGAGACCCCCACATCATCAGCTGCCAGTTTCTTCAATTTTCAACTTTTTTTTTAAATTTTTGTATTGTATTTTAATAATATTAATAACATAAGTAAACAATGGATAGTAAAAACATTCATTGCTTTCTTTTACGACACTTTAAAAATGACCTAAAATTCATCGCTCTACACTAGAATACCACCTCAAAGTTAATAAATTTTTACTACAAAAATTTTACCAAGCCGCATTAAATATTAAAATGAAATATTCAATTTTAAATCAGAAATACGTTATTACGTGCGAATTATAGTAAAAAGTATTATGTAAAATAAAAATCTTGCTTAGCTATAATACATAATTTTTATTTTTTAAGGTTTCTAAAAAAATTCTTTTGGAATAATTTCAGATCAAATGTAAAAATTAAATAATACCACAGTCATTTTGATACTAAAAAGCAACTCAATTTACTTAGCAATTCTTTGTATGTATACAGTATAAATTTACATACAGTTTTATTAGTATTTGATATCTTGTTTGAAATCAACGTACAGAGTTACATTTCAAATTATTTCAATCTGTTTCTACTTTAAGCAAATTAACCAAAAAACATTTCTCTGTACAAAAAATAGACCGACCTAATTTTATCATGCTGACAATTAGTCAATAAGTGGTCTAAATTATTCTTCTGACACACAATGAATCCGCTTACTGATAGTCGAAGATGTTCTGAAGTTTATTTTTTCTATTTCGCAAGATCCTGAATTTCTTGTTTCAGCGAGAAATGCATT